GTATTGCATCCCCACCACTAATAGCCTACGTTGGTTGGTCATTTTTCAGAAATGAATCGATCCAAAACTATTTTATTTGAAGACTGAGAGAATTTTTTCCTGATTTGTGGCTCTCATTCTGTCTCTTATACACATCTAGATGTGTATAAGAGACAGACGTTATAGTGCGCTAACGAACGTTACAGTGCGCTAACGAACGTTATGGTGCGCTAACAAACGTTATAGTGCGCTAACAAACGTTATAGTGCGCTAACGAACGTTTTGTAGTGAGCTAATGAACGTTATAGTTCACCACTTACTTAATTCAAGAAATTAACTTTCTGTCGATTACAATTACATAATAAGCTAAAAAAAATCCAAAAAGCCGAAATCATACGCATTGATGTGAGGTTGTTCCAAAATCCACATTAATAAACTTCTTCTTGAGAGGACAAAAAAAGCACTTGGAGAGACGGGCAATCACCGAAGAAACTTATATGAGCGAGCTCGACACGCTCGACTCGGAAGACAGCACAATTTTTTTAATCATTGATTTGGTCTGAGTTGCGTCGGACATAAGTATTCCTAAGATGGAATGGAAACTGAGTTTTATTATTAATTTAAATATTCAATTTCCATCACTCACTGACTCACAATTTATAGAAGATTCAATTTCCAAGTTCACGGACGTTTGAAGGTTAAAGGCGAAAAACTACACTGAGTCACAATAATGTTCAATGATGCATTCACATTTGTATAATGAATCCCGCTTAGATAACTCAATAGCAAGCGGTCATTGCCTTATGATTAATTTTCTTTTTATCCCGAATAGAATAATTTTCCTGCGTAACTAGAGATGAAACGGAGATCAATAAAGGAGATGTCACCTTCTTGCTCTATCACCTTGAATAAAACAAACCCGTTTTATTCAACAATGCACAATTTACCCTATAGATTCTTGGGATCAATACTCACGATGCAATACTTTTTGATAGCGGCCATCTCTCCATGGTGGCCTGGTACTTCATGTTCTCGATCTGCTTGCGTAACTGATCCTTGTCCATGTTTGCCAACACTGAGGCGTCCATGTCTGCCTCGGGCCTTTATATAGCCGGCGTGCGTGTGTGTGTTACCGACCGACGGCGGCTGTGATTGGTCTAGCCTTGCAATCGATGACGTAGCCCTGACGTAACTGACCTGTTGAAAACTATATTAAATAATATTAAATTGTACTCTATGAATTATAATACAATTTTAATTTTTTTAATCGGAAGAAATATTTGAGTTCAAAGTATATGTGTAAAGAAAAGAGGGAGAGTTATATTTCATAATTGCATTGCTTATCTTAGATTAATCTGAAAAATCTTTTTCATCAAAGCGTTCAATCCTAAAAATTTCTGAATTTCAACATGCGTAATGGATTCGGAAAAATTAGTCATACGAAACGATTACGATACGATGTAATGAAATCAATATTCGAAGCAAACGAGGGGGGCGTAATCCGACAGGTTCACTTACTGTGTAGTTTTGAAAAAATGTTTATTATAAAAATCAGGATGATTATCAAAGAACTAAACGCTTATAAATTCAAGTACCTACTGTTTCACGATCAGACGAAAATTTATGACAATCAAATGAATTGATCAGGTGAAAAATATTCTATGGACTATGCACATGGGATTTCGAATCTATTCCAAGCTAATTGAAATCTTTGTGTACAAATGAATTATTATTTTTTGCCCGATATAATTTAAATCGAAGCAGTTTCTTTGATCATGAATCGCTGAATACATTTACTATCTAAAATATTCATTTCGCATAACATGCGCTTATTTATATTTGTTTTAACACGGTTGGTTAATGACCAGAGAATTCGTCAAATTAAATTTTCAGGGTCGAACAATATTCTTCAGATACATCATGTTGATCAAAATGCAGGTTCAAGGGAGTAATATCAATTTATTAACGACGTTTCGAATGTAACAACATTCATTTTCAAGATACAGGAAGCATTGAATACAGAAATTTTGATGGAAATAAGTACATGATACAAGTAAATAGGATACAACAAGAAAATTTGTAACCGTGAAAATAATTCCAAAACAATCTCAAAGCTTAGAAAATCAGGTAGTTATGAGATGATAGATGGAGTCCAATCCGCAGAAAAGGGCTTCAGCTATCGTCTGTCGGATTATGTCGGGCCACCGCAAGATGACGATGCTGGTGGGTTCCTCCAGCACAAGTAATTGGAGTAACAACTACGACTTTGAGCAGTTATTTATCCTGCCACCTGAGACAAGCTCGCAATCAGACCAGGTCTCAGAGAATTACAATCGAGCAACTTCATCTCGAGATCCGCAATGAATTAAACTGGCTCCATGACAACCTTGACTACAACGTCAAACCCCGAACTATACGCAGCAACGGTCACTTCAAACGAGCGGGAGTTCTTCAAGAGTCTGGTGTAATTTTACATTCGAAACGTCGTTAATAAATTGATATTACTCCCTTGAACCGGCATTTTGATCAGCTAATGTATCTGAAGAATATTGTTCGACCCTGAAAATTTAATTTGACGAATTCTCTGGTCATTAACCAACCGTGTTGAAACAAGCTTATTCTGCCTTCTGATACTAACTTATTTATATTTTTAAACTATTGATATCATTTAAGCGATTTTGATCGAAACTTTCATCGTGCGTTCAAAAATGCAACAAAAATAGAATGAATTACTCAAATGTTAGTTGTATATCCGTAGAGTTTTGTCGATGTCGAGTGAATTTTCTGTGTTCACAATGAGGCTGGTAGACTGCTGTAGATTACATGAAACTTTGAGACTCATGATTTAGTTTATCTGCATCCAAATAATTTGGAAATATTTCTTTTAATGCACCATATACTAATAGTGGCCATATATTTAAATAATAATCCACTGATTAATTATTATTCGCCGCAAATTCTTTCATTATCAAAACATAATTAACTCAATCGACAATTCTACGGACCCGCATGCGAACTCGCCTGCGGACTAGCGTAACTGGGACACTCATAATTCCTTCAATACTTAACGGATCTGCATGAATTTTGGAATGTGAGTATTAACTATCGATACGCTGCCATGTATGATTATTACGGAATCACTGCCATGAATTATTACAGATTTTTACATGACTTCTTATAAGGTTAGGTTAGGTTGGGTTAGGTTAGGTTAGGTTAAGTTAGGTTAGGTTAGGAAATAATTCATGCAAAAATCTGTAATAATTCCTGCAGCAGCGTATCGATAATTAATACTCATATTCCAAAATTCATGCAGATCCGTTAAGTATTGAAGGAATTATGAGTGTCCCAGTTGAGTAAAAAATACGTTTATTAATTTTAATTAAAAAATAATTCATGTAAAAATCTGTAATAATTCCTCCGGCAGCGTATCGATAATTAATACTCACATTCCAAAATTCATGCAGATCCGTTAAGTATTGAAGGAATTATGAGTGTCCCAGTGGCTTAAAAAATACGTTTATTGGTTTTAATTAAAAAATAATTCATGTAAAAATCTGTAATAATTCCTGCGGCAGCGTATCGATAATCAATACTAACATTCTAAAATTCATACAGATCCGTTAAGTATTGAAGGAATTATGAGTGTCCCAGCGAGTCCGCTGGCGAGTTCGCAAGCGGGTCCGTAGAATTGTCGATTGAGTACTTTTTGAGGAGAATTGTACGGAGAATCATAATGAAAACGGATTAGCATGTGCAGCAGTTGTTCACTTGTGCCGGTAGTATGGCTACACGCTACAGTAGTGCTGGTGTGTGGTAAAGCGGTGTACCTACACGCTACAGGTGCAGCCTTGCAGGTATTGGTTTGTAAAGAAATACCCTTTGAGTGGTATATTGACTGAAAAATAAAAAACGAAATTATGTTGCAGCGAGTTAGTATTTTGTATGCTGTTAAGCAGCGCGGGAGCATCGGACGAAACTTAACGAAAGGAAATAGCACCACAAATCTTGCAGGTGACTGAGGTGAGGTCTTTGATCTATTCTATACAACTGCATGCGTTGAAGATAGTTATTACCAATTTCCATATGCCTAATACTATTTATAAACCCAGAGACTTTTGACTGTAAAGTGGGGGAACACAAACCTTAGCAATCTTCAAAAGTCACTACTTTATTTCTACTGTAAATGAAATTTTTAACTCTGATTCTCGTGCAATGAAAGTGACATTATTACTGGTATAGGAAGATGATGGACGAAGGAAGTTGTAGGCTAGTCGAGATTTTCGTACGTCAACTCCCATTTGTTTAGGTTCAAAAATACCTTCACTATTTTCAGTGGCATTGAACTGGAATGGTAAATGGATTATAGTAGTCGTGGATTAACGAAACTGTTAATGTGATTACAATTTTGCCTGCATCCTGTATTTGGTTTGCATCCCCCCATAAATACGTTGGTTGGGCCTTTTTCAAAAAATTAATCGATCCAAAACTATTTTATTTGAAGACTGAGAGAATTTTTTCCTGATTTGTGGCTCTCATTAACTCGTAAATGAATTATACATGTAGAAACTATGGTTATATATATGTTATTTATTTAATATATAATTATAGTGAACCTAAGTTTACAGAGGTAAATGCTTTATAGTTCGACAAATTGCGATCTCGGTTCAAAAAAATCCAAGCAAGCTTTACATAACTCGACACGAACTATGGATAACCAAATTCTCTTATTCGCTCTGAGAATATTGTAATACTTAAGCTTGAATTAGGATTAACTGTTTGAAATTGCTTCTGCTGAATGAAAGCAGTGTTAGTAGTTCACGCTCATCGATCGTGCAGTTAAAATCTTGTAGCTGCACGGTCAGGCACGAGCAGGACGTTCTCACTCTTAATTAAGTTCTGCCGCTCCAGTCGCATTCTGGACGCTGATGTCGCACTTAGCTTGCATTCTGGACGCTGATGTCGTCCAGAACGCTGGACGCTGATGTCACATTTATCCCGCATTCTGGACGCTGAGGTTGCATTTATCCTGCATTCAGGACGCTGAGGTTGCATTTATCCTGCATTCTGGACGCTGATGTCACATTTATCCTGCATTCTGGACGCTGATATCATATTTATCCCGCATTCTGGACAATGAGGTTGCATTTATCCTGCATTCGAGACGCTGAGGTTGCATTTATCATGCATTCTGGACGCTGAGGTTGCATTTATCCTGCATTCGAGTCGCCTGAGACATTCTCAGCTTACTTCTCCTGACTAAGCACCCTGAAGTAGAATACACTGAGTTGACAGTTCTCGGGGCGTCTGAACAAGAGCTCGTCGTAGGCAGAAGTCTTATGTCCTGAAAAAAAAAACTGGACACGTAAATAAGGGAAAATCAGTGAGCAGCTGGCCGGTTTTTTGGATTGAAACGCCCTCTGTCGGAGAAGGTTCTAGGCCAGTGGCGCTTGAGTAGGCTGCTGGTTGTACATAATGCAGCTACAACAGTAACAGAATAACTATTTATTTTTAAGTAAATATTAGCTTGACACAATTTAATACTCTAGAAATATATTGCTGCCTCAAACAAACGTTCCAATACGTCCTCACTACTATTCGTGACAAGCGTTGCTAGACTCGATCGTATATTACGTACTTTGTAAGTAACCCTGAGGGCTATATCTGACTTCAGCATCTCGTGTTGAGCTGCGCTACGTGTGTACATTATATTTGAATGCTGCTGCCCGCCATTTGAGAGTCTGAACAATTTGCCTGCATTCCTACTCATTTATGATGACTGGACGAAATTCAGGTTATTATCTTAGCTCTTTATTGAATATCTCTAAACTACAGAGAAACCATTATGGGAACCCTTCTATACTTGCGTCACATATCACGCTTCGAATCACCGACATATGGAACAGCCCCCCGATGACATCGTTGGAGCTCCAAGTATGAACGCGTTCAAGAACAGACTAGATAAAGCTATGGAAAAATATATGTTCAGATTTGAAATACCTAGCTCCTTATCGAACCCGGTGGAAGTCTAGTAGCTTCTTCAAAGTATCGCCAGTCATGAAAAGATCCGATCAAATGACACGAGTCTAGATCTATGAACAAGGCACGAAAAGGAAAAGAATCGTCGACAGGCCACATCAGGCCTACACTTCAGCGCCGAGATCAATATGTTATGTTATGAGATTATGCGAGTCATTAATCCGTCTAATTTTTATGATTCATCAGCTGCTTTGTTCCATATCGTCACGCCACTGCACGAGGCGCTACAAATTCGATGCCTACGCACTCCCCTGACCTCATTCTCATGTTGCGTTCTCACAGCCCTCACGTGTCCATGCACGTGCTTCGCTAAGAGCTTCTAAACTTCGCTTTTTCTCTAAGAAATGGCCGGTGTCCGTATAGGCTATAATAATCTAATATCTGACCTCGAAATCTTGAGATACTGGATTTGTACTAGTCGGCTTAAAGAGGAAATATTTTTTTGAGCCGAGTAAAAAAATTTTAATTTTTTTTAATGTCCCGGATGCTAGTCTTATTTTTCGGACTATTCGGTGACTAACGCCTGATGTCAGTAGATGCAAGACTTTGACGAGTCAATGAAAGTATAGTGTCATAATTTGCGACCGATTGATTAGTAGTCATACAAGTAGATGTTGATGGAGATGTCCTTATTAACCTCACGCAACTCTTAATGTGGCATAATTACGGTATTAGCAAACATTTGGATTGATTGTCAGTACTTAACATTCCGTAAATTGTCACAAATAGACCGAGTGACATCGCTATCGCACCACGGTTATTATCACCGGTTACTGCCAACGGCCAACCCAATTGTATAGATTATTAAATTCATTTTAGAGCAGGCTTTGAAGAATATTCTAACAGATAATTATAAGTTTTACAGGTTAAAAGCAATTGTTTGTTATTTCAACCCGAATATTTTATATTTGAGCATTTCCCGCTAACAATGTAAATAAGTGAGTTTTTCATAAAACTTTCTCTCCGATTGTCTTGATACAGAAAACGACTAGGGTAGACTAAAGTAATAGGTAGACATGGTGTTGACGCGACCATTTCTTGTTGTGCGAGAATACGAGTAATGTTTATTTTTTTCGCCAAATATTTGATCTTGATAATCTCTCACATATTGAGGACTTAATATTTTTTTATTCTTACTGACCTTCAATCATTTATTAACCGTATTTAAAATGAGCCGTATTTCAAATCTTCTATACTAACATCTTCTTGTATAACAAAACTTTTGCCTGAACGTGTACGGTTTTTTTTTCAATTCGCACAAGCATAAACACACTTCAGCCGACACTTGTGTCGCAATTCAGCGCGTGTATTCAACTGTCGTAACACTCATTCATCAAACATCTTCAAGTCAACAACAACATTCACGCAATCAGTGTACGCACGTACTCCTTCCAAGATTCTGACTTCGTCGGTGATAATTTGCAAATAAATTAGATATTTCTCCTTGCCAGATAAATTTATTTGTATACATGAGTTAATTTAACAGCCGAAATTTGTATTATCTGATCACTTGCATCCATATCTAAATAGGATATACCGGTATCTATGTGGAATCTTGCTATGAGCTTAAAAACTGCGTTGCAACTCATCCACGCGACAACATTTCTTCCCGCTTCGAATCACCGACATGTGGAATAGCATCCCTGATTACATTGTTGACGTTCCGAGTATGAACGCGTTCAAGAACAGACTAGATAAAAACTATGGAGAAAATATTTTCAGATTTGAAATGCCTAGCACCATATCTAGCCTGGTGGAAGTCTAGCAGCTATTTCAAACTATCGTCAGTATTGTAAATATCCGGTCAAAGGACCTGTTTTTAGATCTTTTGTTAACAAGTCACGAAAAGTACATGAATCGGCGACAGGCCACATCACGCCTATTCTTCGACGCCGTCATCACTATGATATGATATGATGTAATAGGTTTCCGCTTTGGAAGCAAACATGTTATCAAAGTTTTGAATAATGAAGAAAACAAACCTATTGAATTCCTTTCCTTGGACCGATTGCCCGAAATGTTACGTATACCTTATCGTCCATTTTTTCGCCATATGTTATTCTTGATCGCAAACCTTTTAATCAACTTGATCATCCATTATCTCTACCTCTTTCTTAGACTTTTGATGCCAAGTGAGTGTAATTCCACAATAAGATATTTTGTAATTAACTAAATTTGATCGAACCTTTCGGCAACAATTATCCCAAGACGTTTAATTGAAATGAATGATGCAACATCGCTAAAGTTTTTCTATCCTCAATCAGATATGTTTAAGTTATAGATTTTTCCGCTTTAAATGAAAAACCTTCACTGCGTTATTTTACGCTAAGCTGAAATTAGCGCTCACCTTTATAAGGCTAGAAGGCTCGTCCGTGGGCCGTTCGCTAGAAAATGTCGGTGACGCACAAAAGTTTAAGTTGGTCGAGATGCGTTTAAAATCTACACCGTGATTGGCTAATGAGTTTACGATGGCGTTCGTATTTTCATGTATTGGTACCACCAGATCTCAACGTTGTAGGAACGGACGTTGTGCGCTCGTTAGTGAAGGAAAAACACTAAGCAAATTCGCGTCATTCTGCCCCTATAGTCACGGCGAGGCGAAGCCTGCTAAGCGCATGCCTGGGTTGTCCTGTGTAGCTAAGTAAGGCTTCACATTCACTCACTAAATTTATTCCTGTTCATTTATTGAAGTTCTCCTTCACCGGTACATTTGAATTGATAATGCTATAGTGAAACATTTTTTGGCACAATTCCCAAACTCGAATTTTATATATGAATCAATTATATATTTAAAGTATCATAAGAACAATACGGTTCAATTAAGTCATTGGTTCAGTAAATCTGCCAAATATTAATGGTTTTGTATTAAAATAAACTCTTAAACCTATGGTAGATAATTTAAGTTAGATGCTAGCGAGCAGTGTCTGGAATGAAACTGCACTTCAATTCAAAATTAAAACCCATTAATCGCGGGGTAACATCGAAGGAATTATTGACTGATCGCGAGAAGTATTGATCTCGAAGTATTGATTGTAATTTACTGTATTTCTTAATTGTTCGCAGAATAGCAGATATTACTCCTTTTGCAGTTTTACTTCAATCTATTTCAAGTGTAGTGGAAGTGCGAGTAAGCAACCTGTACGGGGACCTGTTCATCCAAAGGCAAGCATGCAATGCACCGTTAGAATAGAATGATAATTTTAAAATTTAAGAATAAAGTATTTTCTGCCACTTGCAGTTCATCGCCACTGTTTATGAAACCAATTGACAACTATCTCGAACTCACGATTAGGAAAGTTTATCGCATTTTCGAATAGGAACTCCAACTTTCGTTCCGGAATAAATATAATTTCAGCTATATTAACAATATTCAAGCTAATTCACTAAACTTGTAAACACCATAAACTAATTTTTCTAGAAATATTGTTGCTTGATAGATTAGGAATAGTGCGATCGAGTACTATTTTTTGTGATAATTTTTTGAGCCGTACGAAATTTTTCGGAACTACTGAGGAATTGTCTAATAATAAGCCATAGGGAAATTTTCAGAACATTGGGGAAATTTCCCAAGCGTAAAAGAAGTTTTCGAAACTACCGGAAATTTTCGGAGTCGAAGGAAAAAAAATTTTCATGTGACTGGCTCGAAAAATTAAACTTTGTGTGACAGTCATCTTGTGGGACCAATGCAGCTCTATTATAAGGTTATGAAAACTAGGATGCTCTTAGCATGAGAAACAACATGTATTTGACATTATATTTTGTGGCTTCACGTTCCATCGATTTTGCGTACACAAATAATTTTCTAACATGAAAATTAGACAATTTTGCATACATAGTAACACTAGAGTTGCATTTCTGCATTAAATAATTATCAAAACAACTTTCTCGACGATTATTATGAGCTAGAAAGTGCTAGAGTTAACTATACTAGTCTCTCATCAACATTGTACAGTAGTTTATCAAGAGAGCGAGAGTCATTCTCTAGGTACATTTCTTAGGCGCAGTCCATGTAATGATTGAAATACTTAAAGATTTGAAAACTGAAGAAAATTTCTAGTTGAATTTGAATTATAAGTAGGTACCGGAAGGCACTGAATGGACAATTTATCTGAAATAATATTCGCGGATCTATGATGCGCACATTTGGCTTCACATTGTAGTTTTTTGCAGGCACAATTTCCTCGCAGATACCTTTTCAAGCCTCAATAAATTATTTAAAAGATATTTACTGACATTTGTAATAGGTCGTTTTCCAAGATGATGTATTTTTTAAGTAAAACATTAATCCTTAGAAAACTACTATAAATTAACATCTCGTCATTGTTAAATAACGCTAACTCCTGTCAGTCGTAAAGCAGTACACACCTTTTTTACACGCATATTATAGCTCAGTACGTAGAACTTATACTTAGCTCGCTTCGAAATTTCGACTGAAAATTACTAAGAAACCTAAATTCTTCTTCTGATAATAAACCAATTTAATAAAGCCAGTTTCTGATAGGACATGTCGAATGGCAGATAATACAGCGAGGTATCAAAGTCGTGTGTTCTTGGGCCTGAATCCCGAAAAAATTGAAGGCGATTATCTTTAATTTATCATAACGTGTTTTTATACGTAACGCTTGTGCGAATAAGCAAGTTACTGCAACGAAGAACGGACTTTGCACACTGTGAAGGAATGTATGTGATATACCACCATACTTGGTCATGTTGTTTAGAAGACGGTGAGAATTTCATTCAATTTCTTGCGATGGATGTTGGGCACGGTGCAAGTGGCACTAGGCAGGCCGACGGGCAGGAGCAAGAGCAGCTTCTCGTGGGCAGGTCGCCCCAGCAGCGACTTCAGCGCCGGGCCACAATTCATGGGCGTCGACGTCAGGGTCACCAGACCGGCGTTCTGAATAGGTGGGAGTGATGATTAGAGCGTTATTTGTAGTATTCATACTGTGGGAGGTGTGATAATTAAAGCTTTATTTGTAGTATTCATACAGTGGGAGGTGTGATAATTAAAGCTTTATTTGTAGTCTTCATACAGAGGGAGGTGGGATAATTAGAACGTTATTTGTAGTATTCATAAAGAGGGAGGAGTGATAGTCCAAGCTTTATTTTTAGTATTCATATAGAGGGAGGTGTGATAATTAGAACTTTATCTATAGTATTCATCCAGAAGGAGAAGTGATAATCAAAGCTTTATATGTAGTATTCATTCTGAGGAGAGTAATATCAGAGGGGAATGTAAATAACGATGCACAAGTGGAATGCTTCATGTACGCGTGGCATCAATAACTGTGGGTAATGAGCTCGTGAAAACTGCACCAGCAACAAAATAACAGGCAAGCTCATGCAAACGCTAAAGTGTGTGAGTATTGGTGAGTTAATTTTTTGTGAACTAATCTAGCAAATACCAGTAAAGTATACTTAACCGGCACACAATAATATTTATCCAGAGAGCTATCCATTCTGCTGCAAAAATTGCCCTGCAAATCAAGCCTGCCTGATATATCTTATATTCCGCAGACAAGGAATAAAATATATCTATATTATTCTATCACTAGTTATATAACAGTGGGGACGATATTCACCTGGATAGCAGCCAAGAGGATTCCTCCAGACAAGGCAGTGGAGATCTCATGGTAGTAGTTGTTTCTCTTACGACCATCGGGCAGCGGCGTGTAGACTTGCTTGAAGACCAGCACCAACCACGGCGCGTCCGTCAGGTATTCCTTGATGTGAGTCGTGCGCAGCGCCCTCAGGTCGTTCGTCCACTGGGAGCCTGGATACAGAATACCGCGATTTATATCACTGTGTAGGTTCTTCAGCTTTCACTGGGAGCTAAAAAACTTGTTATTGCATTGATCAGAAATGATTTGTATCGGAATTTTTCTCCGTGAATTCTACCGTCGCTTCCGTATATCAATATTTGTTTGCGCCTGAAGAACCAGAGCATTGTTTGTGCCCAGGGCATTGAAAACATGCCGGAGCATTGTTGATTCATGTTTTCATTATTCACAGAATTATATCTCTAAACGTGTGTCAGACTGACCCATGCGCTTCATGTAGTTGATCTCTTCTTCGCTCTCGACGATTTCCCTGATTTTTTGCTTGTAGTCGGGATCTCGTACAGCCACGAACTGCCAGGGCTCTGTGTGTGCGCCCGACGGTGCAGTACCTGTAACGCCGAGGAAGGTGAAGTTCCATGCTTAATTTTTACCAACCCGCATGATAGTTCAAATTTTAGAAATGCACGAATATTTTCTTCTAATCCTTCCATTTTCTACTATCCGAAATATTATTGTCCATTTTGATGAGAAGCACAGTAAATTTTATCAGGAATCAATAGAAATCGAGTAATCTCGTTCAAATTGTATTATAGAGACTATGGGCTGCAATTTGTAACTTTCACAAAAGCTCTTCTCTGCTGGAAGATTCATAAAATTTTATAATATTATGTTACGATGATAGACTCGACTTAATTGTTGGATGAAAATGCATCCCATGGGATATATATATTTTATATTTGAAAACGTAGTACAAAATTTAACCTGAAATCAAACTTTTGGGTGATAACTGCTAGACATTTTCCACAAGCACCAAAAACTGTCTCGATTGGTACAAGTTTCAGTTTTAAAGAACTTTACTTTTCTGGAATAAATTTGTAGTAGCTGAGTGAATTAGAAATCTTTCTGACCAGCACTTCACCCTGAGTAATGTGGCGTCTCTGACCTGCAATTTTCAGATAGTAAATGAGGATAGTTGTACTACTTTAAAGCGTAAAAGCGTAAAATGAGCACATATAAATAATTTTTGCATTACCTGCGGTTCTAATGAGGTTCTCAATGACTTTCTCGGATACAGGTTCCTTGGAAAAGAACCGGACGGAGCGACGCTGGTTCATCAGTTCGTAGAAATTCACACTACGTGTGAAGGAATCTTCTAATGTTCTCCTGTAGGACATCCGTTCAGTAATGAACCATTTTTATTAATTAGATTTTATATTAATCGGTATCGGAGGGAACATGATTTCATAACTTATCTTTTCACCATTTATACGTTCTATTTTTACCACTTATACCTCCTAAAAATTAGCGTGTCTCAAAACTCAGTGAATTATACGTACTACCACGTTTTTTACAACAAGCGTAATTAAAATTATGCGAATTTCTATTTAACTCTCCGTCATGTATGGCTGTCAGTGAAAGAGTTTATTCTAATTTAAATGGTTGTAAGGCAAAACCTGTACAAATAAGTTAAACACATGTGAGCAAAATTTAACAGCGGAAGTAATTACTGTTTAAAAAGGTTTATAAAATCAATTTATAGTTAAATACGGAAGGAATTAAATGTAAATAAAGAAAAAACGGCGCAAGCGGATGACAAAGAGTGAGCCCCAAGTGACCTGTTGTGCTGTAGGAGGATGTGGTCGATGTCAGCGGGGACGGCTGGTGGGACGAGATCGTGGTGTGTTGGTTCCTCGCTGTCGCCCACGCCGCCGTACTCTGCACGCGGGACCAAATGTTTACAGTGAAATACTAGCACCAATCGGTGGCACAGACCCTTCAGGAGAATGATGTTGATTATACTTGATTTCATTGAAAAAAATGTTGATCCTCGTACCAATCGGTGGCACAGACCCTTCAGGAGAATGATGTTGATTACACTTGATTTCATTGGAAAAATGTTGATCCTCGTACCAATCGGTGGCACAGACCCTTCAGGAGAATGATGTTGATTATACTTGATTTCATTGAAAAAATGTTGATCCTCCTCGTACCAATCGGAAAGAACAAGGTAAGACCCACTTGGCATAGTATTGGTCTGTATTGGTCTAATTTCAATGTGTATGTAGATGTATGAATTATGAAGCATATATTTAGTGATTGTAAATGTTAATCTTAACACACATTTATAAACATTTTCTTTATTTTGGCCTCAAGATGATTTCCAATTGCGCTACTGAGTGATGGAAAAAAATGAACGCAGATGTGGTGATCAATGACTTGATCATTGATTCATACTAATTCAGCAGTTGATTTAGAACGGAAGTACTCAGGAAATCTCGCTTAAATATGAAGTATTTTATCAAGTGAAATAATGAGATTTAAAAGGGAAAATCAGACGTATACATCAATGAATGGGACGACTCGCTAGGTTTAAACTTTGCAGTGTATATTTATGTTTTAAACTTTGACATTTTATAAACATGATCCCTAATATTGCAAATAAATGTATGCAAAATTTTCTGCTTTAAAAGGCAATGAATCACTTATTTAACTGGACTCACCAATCACATTTTTGGTCATGGCTGCACTCAGTTTCCTGAACTGCTGCGCAGCGAGACGTAGCTCCTTTTGCGCCTCTGCTCGCAAATCACATTTTGCATTAATGCGAATAAAACATAGTACTTGTAAAATATTATCTCCTAGTTATCATTAAACAATAATAAGCATTTTCATTATTTCACGGTATTTATAAGATTAGTTTTCGTATCGCTAAGGTTTTCGTTTAGACTGAAACATGTCAGATGCCAAATCATTTACCCGCAGCTTGAAAAGCCCAAATTTATCCGGTAAAGCAATAAAACTATATTTATAATAGTCTTTGCTTCATGGAGACGGCTGCAATAACAATAACAGACCATGGATGACAGTCAAACAACAGTTAGGGATAAGAGCCAAACAAAATTTTGGGGTTCAGTGGATGACACCGAAATTTAACTCACTACTAGCAGAGCCATTGTTCCAGTACCACCAGAGTGCGGCCATGAGCAGCCCAGCGGGCAAAGTGAGCAGACCATTCTGCAACAGCGTGTTGAGAAGTTTCAGCACCACTCCTGCCATGCTTGTAACCTGAAACACGCGAATGTAAAGTTATTATCTAGGTTGAGCTGCAACAGCCTGTTGAGAAGTTTCAGCACCACTCCTGCCATGCTTGTAACCTGAAACACGCAAGTGTAAAGTTATTATCTAGGCTGAGCTGCAACAGCGTGTTGAGAAGTTTCAGCACCACTCCTGCCATGCTTGTAACCTGAAACACGCAAGTGTAAAGTTATTATCTAGGCTGAGCTGCAACAGCGTGTTGAGAAGTTTCAGCACCACTCCTACCATGCTTATAACCTGAAACACGCGAATGAGCAATTGTGAATCTCTCTATTTTGCTAGCTTTAGTTTGTTATTTTTATCACAGTACAATATAATCGCACCGTCAGTGGCATGAATGGTTATGCATGATGCCTGAAGCAGTTGACATTTCTATAAACTTGCTGACTCGGCAAACTAGTGCACTCGGCCGTTGTCAATGCGACGTTGCTAACATGTAAAAATTCCTGTAAAATATTTCTTATATGAGACTTTTAAATTTTAAAATCAGAAATTATTAGTTGAACTTACCGATTTGATACGTGCACGAAAAAGGTAAATAGGTCACAAGTAATTTGTTTGATGTGGGAGGAAGGTATTGGCAAGGCTGCTCAATGGCCCCTATATATAGGTACTGTTAACACACTCTGGAAACCTGTAGAATAAATAAAATACGGTAAGTGAAATAGTTATCGAATTGAACTGTTCGAATATCGTACAGTGGAGTAAAATTTGAATTACTTTTTTAACTTGTTCCTCCTTTCTATTGATCCACGATAAAAAAGGGAAAATGTAGTCCTCGCATTCAGCTAGCAGTTAATACAATGAAAATAATTAAATACGTTCACATTTTTCAGAGTACAAGAACTGTTTATCCAAGCTCTACACCAGTGTACCCAATTCTACCGATGTTTGCATAGACGAACGATCATTGCCCTTGTCAGCTGATCGAACAAAAAATGTACTGTAGCAACGATGGAGTTGGTGCCAAATTCAAATGAACCGCAAGCTTGGAGCCACGTGGTTCAAGGCCAGATTGGATTGGAGTCAGAAGCTGTTTCTTTATGTTTACCATTGTTTTCTCATTGGCTTTTTGAGTCACAATAGCTATGCGAAGGTAAAGATTTACTGAAACGTTACGAAGGCAATTATTGATCATGAAGAAATGATCTGCACTCTAAATGTACACTTGAAATCTACACATAAGAAAGAGATATTACATACATTGGAGTAAATTAGATTACATTAGAGTACATTTGAGACATTCGAATACATTAGAATGTACGCATAACATTAAGCATGTAATTATATACGCATTTCGACATGAGGACTGACACGCAACGCACGCAAAAAAGCACTTGATAAAAATGTATAACTATAACAACCTCGCAAAATATTGCTAAATTCAATTAGAAGAGATTGTCCAACATATTTAATCTGACTCAAAAGACACTGGATGAATTGGCTTGAATTTGTAAAGCTTACTCGCATTAAAGCTGATTAATGTACCGATTAATTAAACACTAATTATGAAATAAGTTGAATAATAATAATGAATCATTTACTAAATTAAGTAATGTGAATGAAAAATGAAAGATGAAGTTATTAAGCAAATCTAATTCTCAAAATGTATTATTTGGAGCGTCGAAAAGTACACTGAGAATATTATGCTTTACAAACTCGCATCAATAGTACAGCGCGCCTTTATTCGCACTATTACTATACAATAAGTTGGAAACAGTAAGTAACTATAAGAATTATGACAAGTGAATCCCCCAAATATAAATTAATTGAGTCTTTAAAAAAAGCAAGGTGATGGATTAATTACAGAAAAAAGTTTCTGATCCCTAAAAAACAAAACCTGCGTGATTGATCGGTTTGCAGAGGCCGTACAAAAGCAGCTCTCTGCTCATTCCCAACCGTTTCTTACTACAACTCGTGTCCTACTGCCGTCAATGACTCCTTCACGATGTGACGTGTTTGACATTGCCGGCCTCTTATAAGCAGCCGTCACTATCGAGGATGACCTTCAATCTCGCTCAGTTAACTGTCCCACAGCGGGACTCTGCCGTATCAGGAAGGCAGAAGAACTTCCCTATTTACATAGTGTCTTGGAACAACCCCACTACTCTTCGGATGAAACAACCCCACTTCTCTTCCCCATCTTGAAACAACCCCACTTCTCTTCCCCATCTTGAAACAACCCCACTTCTCTTCCCCACCTTAAAACAACCCCACTTCTCTTCGATTGGTGATGTCGTGACAATCTCTTGATTGTCATTAAATGCAATTAGTTATTTCTGCCCTTTTTATCGATGGTTCGAAGAGTACGTGTCTCGTGTTGAATAATTCTTTATGGATTGTGTTCCTACAAAAATGACTTTTAATTTTGTATGATCGGATAAACACGTGGGAGACAGTTTTTTAGAATCTACCGAAAAAAGTTTGCACTGCTGAATTTGATCGCTGGTACATCACAGTAATAGGCCTTTAATGAAATAATATTTCCGCTTGCGTAATACAAAAATATCTCTGAGCGATACATTCGAGCAGAGCTGGAAAATTATTTGTGACATAAACCATTAGCCGTTTAGCTATTATCAGAGAGATGGGGCAGTATTTATGCAGATTATGTGAATCATGTACAATTAATCACGGGTGTAATGAACAAATCCATTTCTTAATTTTTGGTATCTCCGTGGTCTTGGGGTATTCATGGCTAAAATTCCAAGATTATCATTAAATTCGTGACTAAATGGAGTGAAGAATGAAATTACTTCACCCGTTATAATCCATTTTTTGTGTGCTGTGTGATTTATGTTACTGTGATGGTGATAATCGGTTTATTCAGATTCATGGTAATTTTTTTATTCAGTCAGTGGTCGTAATTGGGAGCCGATTTCCTCCGTAAGAAAAACGAAAATTGTCGAGACGATCCAACGCGTCATTTTGTTCTCTAGCTATCAATAATGATTACGAACTATAGGTCAAAGTGATGGGATAATATGCTTCAGTTCAAGTCTAATACCCAGTTGTCACCGGCAATTTACAACGGACTCTTTTGACGTTCAACCTTGCGCAACTTGTTTCTGTTCCACTCTGATTTTTTTCAGTTCGCTTTGGAGACATTTCACTTGAAGGGCAACTTTCAACCACCTTGTCAAGGTGACCTTTAACCCACGAGACTTGGGATTTCATGCAGAATTGTTCTCGTGACACAATAGACCGCCGCAATTCGTGCATGAATCTGTATCGCTTATGTATTGTAGCCGTAACAAAACTACTACGCTTCTGGCATTTGTCCTGTTAAGAAATCTTTGCAACCTTAAACCATATATATTACATCAGGGTGTGGGGATTCTATCCACAGAGATTTTTATCTACTTGGGATGGGTCATCCGGAGAAGGTCTCAATTCACGAACGCGAGTCGTAGTCAGCGCGACAAGAACGCGAGTTCGTCGGGAACAGCATGGGTAAGCATCAGGCATGCGGGATCCGTTATTTTGATTCCAAGTAGGACTGAGATTTATTTGTGTGGAAAAATTACTTCAATCTTCGCTTTTCAGCTAATGAGCCTCTAATTAACGCAATCGAATGAAGAAGACGGGTGAATTTATTTGTTAAAATGTTTATCAAAATAAATTGCACATTCAAATTTGCTTAGAACATCAACAATATTATCGTTGGTTTTATGAGTGTTCGAACTCAGCGCAACTATTCTTTTGCTCCTATTCGGTAGAAGCCAGAAAAATTTGCAATGAAATATCTTAATAATTTATTCCCAGGATTATCTGTGGAGTGAGTATCTTGAAAAAGTTCTTGTTTTTAAATTCAGGAATACAAATATTTTCGCGCTGCAGAAGCTTGACAGAATTGAAACAAAAACGCAAACTAAATTGCATCGAACGATGTTAAATGGCTATTGTTGATGGGATAACAATGATTCAAATATTATATGCACTTCTATTCCAACTCAAGTTATGTTATCTATAGAAACATAACCTAAAGAGCTTCATGTCAACTACATGACCGTGACAATATTTTCTTAGCGTGGCTCTGGTTTATATAATCACTTACGTCTCATGTCAATCTAGTCAATGAAGCGACAAATACCTGCGCCTGTCCACGTGTCTCAGCGCGCTTGCAAACAAATCAAGTGTAAACTTCCTTCTGTGAAGAACGGTGTTCGCAAAACAAGATGCACCCAACATTTGAGTTTGGCGCCTGCTTGCACAGCGACCTTCGAGCGTGGCCCGTACTTCCTGAAGTAACGGAGCGGCGTCGCCTCAATAACTACTGTTATTTCTCATCTCTGAGACCCTCTTCTAGTTTCTCTGATCTGATTAATAATATATTTTGAAACATTATTTTCATTGTTCAATCCAAGCCTCTGATAGTTGCAGGTTTCAAAAGCCATTGATTTTTGACAGGCTTTAAGCTCTTTATAACTGAAAGATTTTTATGGATCTCCTAATCCGATTGTTGTTAAATGATTCTGTTTCAAGAGTCTCCGCGGTTTTTTGTTTTAGCCAAGCAGAACACCTGCCATTAAGGTAATTGAGATTATACAACCCTGACAAGTAATACCGGTCAAGGTAAACGACCTTTCACATATACCATGCAGGGAACGAGGCGCTAAAGTAAATTTATTCTCTAGCATTCACGTAAATTTTTTATTTGTTTTATCAAGAACTTGGAACGTTCAGTACATTTCGCGTTGTAGTTTAATTATGAATTAGGTAACGAGTGATAGTGAATGAAACCAAGTGGAAGAAAGGGGGAGGCATTATCAGGTTCTCGAACCGATAAAGTGTTATCGTATAGCATCAGTACGAGTTTGATATCAATCCTTAACGTAGAGATAGGATTGATTTTGAAATATAGTCATCGTTTCTGTCACCCAGATCTTGAACGAATTATGATGAAAGAATATCGACCTATTCAAGAAATACTTTAGCATATGGTATTTAAGACCGGCGTCGTCGTTGGTGAAGC